TCTTGAAATGTGAGATATCTAAGAAGTATATTGTTAAATAAATAGATATCAATCTTGAAATGTGAGATATCTAAGATGTATATTGTTAAATAAATAGATATCAATCTTGAAATGTGAGATATCTAAGATGTATATAATAATATACTTCCTGTTGATTGATACAGACTTCAAGCCTGAATATCTAAGCATAGACGCGCATTAATATTCATACAACGATCACACACGCGCTAGAAAACAAGACAAAGCGCTCAAAGCGCGAGAGATACATAAAAGGGCATTGAGCAGCACACACACACACCCCCCTCCGCAGACAAATAGTGTTTGCTACAAGTAAACCAGAGAACTAAACTTATGAATGGGGTTTAACGCATCACTCACAATCATACAACTGCAGACAAACAGTGATTTAGTACATGAAAATCAAAGAGTAAACCTTATGGATTGGGGGTTTAACACGCTATATCGAGGAAAGTTGTATGTCCATTACTGACACCAATGAGGTTAAATCGTAAATAATCGGTCTAAGCGCTGAAGTCACTGGTTTACGATCAAAAAAATTTCACCCCCAGGAAAATGTCGTCCTTAGTTATTTACAATTTTCCAATTCAAAGTTTTATATTTTTTCTCCAACCTGTAGAAATGGGTTGGAAAAAAGAACCTAGTTTAACAAGGCTCCTCCTCTTGTTTCATGCAAATTATAGGTTTCCCGTCCTTGCTGCACGGAGATAGGACGAGGCATTTTTTTATCAAGTTCCTTTCAACTCATTTTTCATCTTTCCGGCTTAGTTGCATCAGTTGTTATAATAAAATATTGCATTGGATGATGCAGACCCAGTTTAGAAATTGGTTATCTCTCTGGTTTTAGATGAGCTAAATCATGCAAGGATGGATTTGAACCTTGAAAACTCATGATAATTATACCTACAGTCCTACACTCCCTAAACATTGGAATATTTTTCCATTAAACATGTTGAGGAAACATCGTTCCTAGGTTTAATATTCCTTTCTGAAAAATCATCGTTTATAAGGATTCATTGTATATGGGTGGTCATTGATTATTTGAATGAGATTAATTTATGGATTCATGGATTTGTGAATTCATCGATTTTTTCCTTTTTATTTAATTTTATTGTTACATTGATTCATTGATTCAGGAATTCTTGGATTAATGGATCTAATAGTCAAAGCTTGGATTATTAAAGGTTTACAGGTTGCAAAGATATTCAGATTATAAAATTAGAGTTCGAGGCAAGTTTTCAGTTCCTGTATATTTAGTATTCTGGTCTCTATCCACCTCTGTTGTCCCTCTTATATTTATAGTTTGCTCATGTCCGTCTTTTCTTAAACTTGTTTATTCTACAAACTTAATACCTCACATCTTAATACAATAATATCAAGGATATTTACAAATATTTCGAGTGTTTTCTTTTCTCCTTCTTCAATACAAACTTAAAACCAAGTTTACCATTTTTGTTCAAAATTATGAGACGGAAACAGAAAACAGCAATACTTTGGAAAACTGAGTTTCGAATTTAAGTTGCTAACCTTACAGAAAAATAAATTTTTTACTCTGATTTAGTTAGATAGTAAACCAAGTATTTTTTATAACAGATACAATTCTTGACCGAGATATCTATAAATTCAAAACCCAATGTCTCAAAGTATAAGATACATAGTAAATTGTAGGGCCGTAGCCGGTAGAGGTATAATTTTACTAATTGAACTTTTTAGCATCTGTCGTCCCTTGCTTACCGAGCAGGGGTCATTCTGAAATAACAGCAATATATTATCAATGAGATTATTCCAACAAAATTGTTAAAAAATACAATAATAAATGTTCTCAAATGTTAAAAAATTTATATTAGTAAAAAGTTAATCTTGGGTTTGCGTCGCACACAATTTATGGGAACTTGAGGGTCAATTCAAGTTTGTTCAATTTATGGGAACTTGAGGGTCAATTCAAGTTTGTTCAATTTTGGAAACTTGAGGGTCAATTCAAGTTTGTTCAATTTATGGGAACTTGAGGGTCAATTCAAGTTTTTCCAATGTATGGGAACTTGAGGGTCAAATTAAGTTTTTCAATTTATGGGAACTTGAGGGTCAATTCAAGTTTGTTTAAAGGTTTATTTGTAAATTGTAAGAAAACATTCTTAAAGGGATTTTGCTTTTCATTTAAAAAATGGCGTGTCCGATTCGCAACGGTACCCTTTAAACTCTACCTTCTTTGTAACTATTAACTAAAAAGGAAGATACTACTTTATTGAAATTAAACCACCACCATTGAAAGTTATCAATTTTCTAAAAGATAAAAATAAATACCTCATTTATCCTTGATCTATTAAAGGTTTAAAAGTTACTGTTGTGAATCGGATATGACATTGTTAAGTGGTAGGTAACTTGAATTTAAGTCTAAACACTCCACAGTCTCGTCAAATGACATTGTTAAGTGGAAGGTAACTTGAATTTAAGTCTATACACGCCACAGTCTCTTCAAATGACATTGTTAAGTGGAAGGTAACTTGAATTTAAATCTATACACGCCACAGTCTCGTCAAATGACATTGTTAAGTGGAAGGTAACTTGATTTTAAGTCTATACACGCCACAGTCTCTTCAAATGACATTGTTAAGTGGAATGTAACTTGAATTTAAGTCTATACACGCCATAGTCTCTTCAAACGACATTGTAAAAGTGGAAGGTAACTTGAATTTAAGTCTAAACACTCCACAGTCTCGTCAAATGACATTGTTAAGTGGAAGGTAACTTGAATTTAAGTCTAAACACGTCACAGTCTCTTCAAATGGCATTTAGAGTGATTAAACAAATTGATGTAAATTCGATAAAAAATAGATCTTGTAAACTAAATCGTAAGGAAAGTTTGAAGGTTTCAACAGCACCCAAAAAGTTAGTCCCATATAATTCATACCCAAAGAAACCATGATTTAAAAAGCTTACAATCCTTTTAAATATTTAATGAATGAATGTTTACTAACAAGATGCATGTTAGAACTGATTAAAGATTGGTATTTAAAATTTCCTCTGATTGCCTCATTGTCTCAGAAAACTATTCAGTTTCTAAATTCTCGGCATTTTTAGCTGCCCTTTAAACTGCCTGGATCGTAGTTTAAGCGGCTCTTTGCAATTTTAAATGTTTTTCTAACTCGCATTAAAGACCTACAACAGTTAACTTTTCTCGTTGCTTTTCATACAATATATTCAGAAAAGTAGGCTTTTAAACTATTATTGAACACCTACACCGAATAAATTGCATACATGCTCTTTTAAGAAATATTCAATATCTATACAATAAAGCTCTGCGCTTATATTACTTGTTCTCTTCAGTTGGCCAACCGGCTGGCCTTGACTTGGGCAACGCCGAGTACTCCTGGTACTAATACATACGATATAATATATTATATATATATATAACAGATATTCGATATACGCACTCATAGATCAACAGTTTACTTTAGACTTTAAACTTGATCGCACACATATATGTCTGAAATTAATAAATAGATAAAACGGTAACAAAATATCTGAATTACATAAAAATTACATTAATGCTAAACAAATTATAATATTGAAAGATTATTTATTTTGGATCAAATAAATAGCTTTTTATATGTATGTGCAATAACCTACTGTCAACTTATTCTTGTTTACAAGCTTGTTTTTGTTTCAGTGATGACGTGAGAGAGATGGGGTTCACAGTGGTCATAGATATGCGTGGTAACTCAAGCTGGACAACAGTTAAACCAATACTCAAGGTAAACCTCAAGTACAAATTAAGGAAAATATCCCCCCCACGTCTTCCCTTGGTGAACCAAAGCTCAATAGTTTAAGAAATGTTTCATATCTGTATAAATCTACACGAGTTACTAGATATCTATATTGTATTTTATTTCTAGGTGTTACAGGACAATTACTCAACAAGTATACACACAGCACTCATTATAAAACCTGACACATTCTGGCAGAAACAACGAACCAACCTGGGCAGCCAGAAATACAAGTTTGAGGTAAATATTACAGTTTTAAGCGCATTTATTTACATTTTATGATGTCGGGGTCTAGAAACAAAGAAAATTTCCCAAGTTTAAAGAGACTGTTTGCCTGATTCACTTCGAAACCAACCTCTGCTTGAGCAAACAACGTTGTTTTACTATTTGTAAAAGTGAAAATTTTGATATCTTCTTCGTTGTCCCTGCTTCTTAAATCTGCAAGTAGCTTTTTAAGGAAACTTATTAGTTTTCAGATAGAAATTTAAGAATTGCTTCATCAAATAGGGTTTAAAGTTGTGCATGGGTATGTCACTTTAAAAAATGGAGGGTCAATTATGAATCTGTCGATAGTCTCTTAGTAGTCATTCATCAACATTTAGCTCTTAAGAACCCCCCCCCCTTTCCGCTAAGTATTTGTTTTGAAGAACACAACGTTTCCACATTTTGAAACTGTTAAAATCTGAATTTACAATATTCATGATACTTTTGATATTTATGGATTTTATGTCTTGTTTTTAGAATTTTCACATGGGTGTGTAAACCTCTCAACTGATAATAAATGCTTTTAGGACCTTAGTTAACGTCATTTTACAGTCAACATCCAACTCAGATTTGACGGGAATTATTTCAACATGAAGCATAGTGGGGGGGNGGACTCTCAACGCAGTTTAAAGTGGTTACACTAAAACAGGGATACACATTTTTTCCTACCTTAAAAATTAAATTAACCTGTATATTTTTACAGAGACAAATTTCTCGAATTCTTTCCTATTTTGCTGATTGAAGGCTTCAGAGGAATTGTTATGCCAGAATTTATCTTTAAATAAAGGATTACTGAAAATTTCTTTGTCAAAACCTGCAATTTCTTTTGTTTTTGGCATTTAAAATTTCTACTTGAAAAAAAATGTTAACAAATTGAACCCTAGTTCATAGTTTGTGACCTGACCCAAACCATTTGTTGAAGAGAAAATTGAAAAATTGAAATGCAAAAGTTTTTGTATAATTAGTAGACAGTATGCTTAACATGCAGAACAGGCTGAGAATATGATAATTAAAGTTATTTTCCTGTTCTATCACCTCTAATCATAAACATGGAAGGTCGAGAGATATATTTACTAATACAATTATACCAAGAGAAACATTATATTTAGCTTTTAAACAATTTGCTTATACTGTGTTGAAATTCATTCAGCGTTAAACTGTTATTACTCCATGTTTGCCCGTTTACTCCGTGTACTTCCTGCAATGCATGTTCTACTTGTAATCCAAGTACTTCCTGTACTTCATGTACTTCCTGCAATTCATGTTCAATTATTACTTCGTTCAATTCCTGTAATTCTTGCAATACATGTACTCCATGCACTCCATGTACTCAATGTACTTCATGTACTTCATGTTCATGTACTTCATGTACTTCTTTTTCATGTACTTCATGTACTTCTTTTACTTCCTGAACTACAAGTAGTGCTTGTAATCCGAGCACTACTTGTACAAGCACTACTTGTACTATATTCAATCCTTGTACTGCTTGTAATTAAAGCACTACTTGTACTCCGTGTATTGCTTGTACTGCTTGTAACCCAAGCGCTACTTGTACTCCATGTATTGCTTGTACTGCTTGTAATTCAAGCACTACTTATACTCCATGTATTGCTTGTACTGCTTGTAACCCAATCGCTATTTGAACTCCATGTATTGCTTCTACTGCTTGTAATCCAAGCACTACTTGTACTCCATGTATTGCTTGTACTTCTTGTAATCCAAGCACTACATGTACTCCAAGTATTGCTTGTATTGCTTGCAATCCAAGCACTACTTGTACTCCATGTATTGCTTGTACTTCTTGTAACCCAAGCGCTACTTGTACTCCATGTATTGCTTGTATTGCTTGCAATCCAAGCACTACTTGTACTCCATGTATTGCTTGTACTTCTTGTAACCCAAGCGCTACTTGTACTCCATGTATTGAATGTACTGCTTGTAACCCAAGCGCTACTTGTACTATTATTGTACTGCTTGTGTATGTATATATACTTCCATATCTCTTAAGTACTCAATTTTAATCATGTACCCAGTACTCAATTTTAATCATGTACCCTCACGGTTTTAAAATCTTGTATTTTGTTGTATGAAGTAAGCATAATAAAACGTATAGAAATCATCTTCATATTTGGTGTTCAACTTAATGCTCGCCTTTAAACCAAACATCAAATTAAATCTTTGTTAAGGATTTTAAACTTTTTAGAAAACATATTTTAAGAGCAGAGGGATTATTAATAAAGGGCAATTGCAAAATGTTTAAATACAAAATATCATATTTGCTAAATTATGTTCTTATTCTTATCCCAACATATTCATATGTTCTTCATCTTTCGTCTCAAGATTTTAAAGTCTCAACTCAAAATATAACTTTTTTATTAAGGTAAAGAAGAGTGTACAATTGTAAAAGATACATTTGCAAGAAAAATATACAATCAAATGTACCGATAAACAAAATGTTAAATCAGGAAAATACATTAGTTCTTTTGGGTAAAAACGTTGTTCTTCTTTTAAGATAAAATAAAAACAAATTTGTAAGCGAATTTTTATCGTCTTATTCGACATCATCCCCATTAGTATTTTTACGTACTTCACTTAATTTGTTTATTATTTTAGACGCATTTGATTGGTCTTGAATCCTTACATAAGCAAGTTGACCCGAGCCAGCTAACTGTTGACCTCGAGGGAACACTCAGCTATGATCACACTATCTGGATTGAAATGAGATGTGTAAGTAATTTGTTTTTTATCTGGAAGGTGCACACCATTTTCTGAAGNATGATTATTTTTTTTTTAAAACTTCGGCTGAACAAAAATAATGAAGATTCAAATTTATTTTGTCATTTCTTTTTTTTTGAATTGTTGATAAATTTTTATGAAATTTTGGAAAATTATAGTAGAAACATTTTCCTCCAAAAAATGGTTTCGTGCTTTTTTCAAAAATATTTTTAAGTTTTGATCCGAAGGAAGCCATAGTTTTTAACATGTTGTGCAAAACATCGCAAAATCCCGATTCATATATTTTTGACTCACCCTGTATTTTTATTAAATTTGATATTAATAAATGTTGTCCCCCCAGCTTGAACCGGTGGTATAAAGAATATTATGAGATTATTTAATGGCTGAAAATATTAAACCAAATATATTTGCATTTTATTCAGCAATTAAACCCGTAAGTATCTCTCCTAGTCTGGGTCGTAAAATGTTCAAAATTAACTTTCAGAAAATAGTTTAGTAAAAATATGTTCTTTTTGGTAAAACTCTGAAAATTATTTAAATATTTCTTTGTTTGATCATTTGATGTAATGTTCACTTAGCATTAAATAATGCAAGTTTTTTATTTCTAATGTCTGAGATTTGGTAACGTTGTCTAGGCTTGATATCAATTTCCTCTTTCTTTGTTTCTCAGAATGGATAGAAGGGAGAGAGAGGGGGGGGGGCTNTAGCCGGGGGGGCATTGCTTGTAAAATGTCTTTTTAACATATTACCCAGAAACAAAATAATTTCTCTTGCATTCATTTCAGTTTACAGTTGTGTAATTTAGTAACAAATATTCTAGACAGTAGTAGGTTTAAACTTCAGGCATAATTAAACTTTAAAGCCTGGATGCATGTGGTCAAACTACTTCATTTTACTCACTTTAAGGAGTTTTATCACGAAAATGTAATTTTATCGCCATCAGCCTCGTGTTCTATGCAGTTCGGACTCAAAAATAACTAAATTTCGTTCCGCTGCAGAATTGTTCGGAATTCCATCAGATTTTTGCATTCATATTTGCATGAATAAATTTATTCTGCGGGATATTTTCTACGCTGGAATTTCTGCTAATCATCAAGAAATTTGTTCCACCAAATATTTTATTAAGATGAATCCACTCTATGCAAATTCTAGACATAAAACTTTTTTAGTATTGAACTTTATTCATGTCTTCTGTGCAAATTGTACATTACTTATTTCTTAATAATTCTCATTATATCTTACGATTACAATGTTAAGATGCATTCAAAGATAGAAATGCCCGATTTACAATGGTACCCATAAAAGCTATGTCTGATCAAGTATGCATTAGATATCAATGTTTATGATTTTGTAAACTGATTTTTTTCAATTGTCAACTCGTTCAGTTTAAATATTTAGATTTAGGAAACACAATACTTCTTAACGCTTGGTTAGTTTACTGTTTAAAGAACAAGTTCTGACCCCCCCCCTCCCCATCTTTACTGTCTAACAGTTAGAATAAAAGATGAATTTTAGTATTTGTCTCTCTCAAATTATGCAGAACTTTTTGCACAAGTTTTGCGGAGTTTCAGCAAACTCTAAAACCCAAGCATCAGTTTTGCCAAATATCCCCGGGATAAGCCGAGCTGAAGGGGGCCGTCAGAGACAGTAAACCTTAATCATGCTTTTGGGTTTAATTGGGCCTTAAGAATTGTAGGTTTTACAATTGCGAGAAAAAAATGATTCAATGATTAAGATTCAAAATTCACTCTGAAAATAATATTTTTTTAAAAAACAAATACCGTATCTAGATGAAACTGTAAAATTATTTTTCCTACTGTTAGTACTTGATATATACCTACCCTGCCTATAACTCGGGATTGGTAATGTAAAATTATTGGGCCTACTGTTAGTACTTAATAATTACCTAGCCTGCCTATAACTCGGGATTGGTAACGTAAAATTATTTTTCCTACTGTTAGTACTTGATAAATACCTACCCTGCCTATAGCTCGGGATTGATAATGTAAAATTATTTTTCCTACTGTTAGTACTTGATAAATACCTACCCTGCCTATAACTCGGGATTGGTAATGTAAAATTATTTTTCCTACTGTTAGTACTTAATAAATACCTACCTTACCTATAACTCGGGATTGGTAATGACTCATAAAGATAGTTGAGATAGGCTTGTGAGTTTTACAGGTCTAGGGAGATATAAAAAAATCTGAAGAAAAGTGGAGATAGTTAATTATATATAGTGCTGAAATTATTAAATGTCTATAGGAACAATAATATATAAAATATGATATGGTTTTCATTTTTCTTGCTGGTTGTTCTATCCTATATTTAGTGCAACAATTATGTGCTTACCTTGAACAGTATTATCGTTATTTAGGCCTTTTCAGCTTTAAACCCCCCTCCCCTCTTCACATATACTTCATAAATTTAAACTAGGTTATGTTTAAAACAACATAAAACTTACAATATTTAATTTTATGATCATAATTTTCATTATTATCAGTTCAGGAGATTGGTCGGGTTCAAGTATTTTTCGTGCGAAAACCAAAAACCAATGTTTTCATTATTTTATTGCTTTAAGCTCTTTTTTCATTTTCAAGTTAATTTAGAACTTATTTACCCCCTTGGTGGAGGGGGAAGGAATATGGAAGTCAAAATGGTTTATGGTTCAGAGGTCAAAATTTATTTTAAATCTGTGAAGCAGTATGCAAATCAAAAGACAAAGCTTAAGTACAAATAAGTAATTGGATTAATCAGAATTGGTTTGTTAAACTATATAAACTATAGCAATGAACCAAATGAGTGAAAGACTCATTTTATGATGAGAGGTGATGGNTTTCATGGAGAGGTCATTATTTGGATAACTACAATGGAAACCTTGAAACCCGTGGAATAGGAAGAATTCATTTTATTGTTTTGGTTTAACCTCATCCAAGAATTGTATATATTTTATGCTCTGTAAGATAATGAATCAGGATATTTTTTATGCGAAGGGGAAGGAGGGGAGAGGGGGGGGCTGCACTTAATTGAGGGTCAAACTGTCGGCCATGATGTTTTTTTCCTGTTCGAGCTAAACTAAAAGATTTTTATTTCTCTTAAGTTTATGAGGTTTGGTGATTTTTCTGCTGACTATGTAAATATTGAATTCTAAACTTTGATAATTTATTTTAAATAAATTTTACAATACTTTTAAATTTCAATATGATATCAGATGGAAACATTTTGAGACTTCTATATTTCTTGTTTTCATTCTTTCTTCTTGATCTTCCATTCCTTGTCCATCCTTCAATCATACTTTGGCTAATAAATATTGAATTCTAATTTTCCGAAACAAGATTAAAATTATGTTAGATGCGGGATGCTACAGAGTAAAAAGGAAATTTGATATTTGACTCATGTATGTAGGTAATGGGGTAATGTTTACCCATTTAGAGGAAAGGGGGGGGGGGTGTTTGTAGAGGGAAATTAGAAAAGGAACCTGTACACGCACTGTGCAAATCTACCTAGCCTGCTGTAACAAATATCTTAGTAAACAATAGGAACAGGATTTAGACTTCAATACATTCGAAAGGGGGGGGTATGAATGTTATTCGATTCAGCCGTTTATTTATACACTTTCTTTGCGGGATTTTCACTTAAAAAAAAAATTTTGAATAAATATATTTATTCCAGGGGTTGGAAGATTTTGTTTGGCAAAGTAGTGAGCTGTTGGATCGGATGGAGGATATGAGGGAGGATCTCAACCACAACGACTTCGCTGACGACGTGAACGGCGCCAAGAAGTCGATGGATCTCCACAACGAATCCAAGAAGAAGATCCACAAGGTCCCTGTCGAGAATATTGATGGTATGGGACAGCGCTTGCTTCAAAGGTAACATATTCTCACGTTGAAGATAATTCTTGAATTTTAATTTTTAATATTTTATATTCTCACGTTGAAGATAATTCTTGAATTTTAATATTTTGAAAATCGAGATAAAACCTTAAAATTCCTTTTATATTAAATGATAACATTCTGAATTTATGTAAATTGACGTATTTAATGTGAACAATATAGTTAATTTTTAAAACTTTCGACTTTACGCTAAATATCCTTTTTTTTACAGAACTCTAGCATCTATCTATCTACCACAAATTTGAACAATATTTTTGGCAATTATTAAATTACATCATTAATGTTATTTTTTATCATATTTTTTAACATTTGAAACAATGCTTGATAATTACGTAAATGTTTTAAGTCTCTATTTTTTAAATTTACTTTTACGATTCTTTACAAATATTATAATGTATGTATGAAGTGCGTAGGGGGGGAGGGGCTGATTACTCTTCCTATTAATGTAATTTATATGTTGTTGTGGGTTATAATTAAATTATTGTGCATTATACACGCACAAAACCAATTTAGTTATCTACTCTGATTAAATGTTTTCTGCTAATCAAATTGTTTTCCTTAAAATCTTTCTCTTCGCTTTGGTATCTTCTATTTTTAATGGTTTAAAATGTGCAAATTGTAGAATCTTGATTTTTCCATATATAGAGACATCCATTTGTGTTGGGTGTACCCACTATCCATCCATCTGTTGAATTCTAGGATACCAGGGGTGTTACACAGTACTATTTATCAAAATAACGAAAAGTAATATAAGTCGAATTTACAAAAGTATTTGAATTTTGTTTATAAACAAACTACTATTGTTAGTCCCCAGCTAAATAAATCTAATCGTTATATTTTCACATTAGCATGTTTTAACTTTATCTAATCTTGAGTCTAATCTGGAAACTTAAATGCCCGGTGTAGAGTATATACGGGGTCACCAATTGAGTTCACCCAACTTTCAATTTCTATTAATATTATTGCCATAATTATGTGATTATTCCAATTATTTCAATATTTTTAGTACTTTAGCGTTCTCATTATTCTATTACTTTCGTCATTTTCACTATTACACTTGTATATGGGAAATCTGTGCCAAAAGAGTAGGACTATGATTTTACAAAGGAATTAGTTTCTTAACCTTAACTCAATTTCTAATTTTAAAATTGTTCTAGACCTTTAATATTTCAAACTTCAAATATTGTGCTAGATCAAATATCTAAGGTTTACACCATCAGGTTGCTAAAATATATGGATGCGGTGAGTTATCTGTTTCTTTGAAATATCCTGAAATGTCTTGTGTTTAGGCTTTCAACGTGTGAGGGAGGAAACAGTTATGATAGTGGATACTGTGGTAGAGATAGTACTGCTAGTAATATGACCCTTAACCCTGATCTTCAAGTAGCAATACCACAGGTATACATAAACATAAAAATAAACATACGCTAGGCTTTCAGGGGGATTAGTGCCCATTTTTTATTTTAACTTTTGATTGTTGCTCTATCTGCGGCATTTTATCTTCTTAAATTATAAAAAATAACAAAAAAATTCGAAAATTTAATTTTTTTCGTGGATTTTGAAAAATTAAATTTGTTAAGGCAAATTTTTTAAAATTTTTACCATTCATAAAACTTTCCTTTGATCATGTGAGGTCCCACAAAAAAATTGGACCCAATCGGTTCAGCCATTTTGACGTTTTTGGGATATAACAGACAGACAGACATGCACACTGCACAGTAGGTTGACGCACGAAGAAGGGAAAGTCATAAAATCAATATGTGCAAAGGTTCTCTGGGCCATGTCAACCCTAAGCATTGAAATGTAAAAACATTTTTAGCTCTAACTTGATGAACTTAGGTGGAAGTAGTTTCAGGGAAAAATCTCGATAGGAGGACACTGTGACACTTCATTTTGACAGGCTGCATTTGGTTCTAAAAATTGAGATAAAAGGCTGAAATTTTGCAAGCACCCTCTCATTGTGGCCATGCAAAATCTTGATTTTTGAAAGAGGTCAATGACCTCCGATCCCAAATTTTCTTTCAGATCCGTGTAGAGGGCTACAATGGTGGCTGCTTGCAAAATTTCAGCCTTTTATCTCAATTTCTAGAACCAAATGCAGCCTCTACAAAATGTAGTGTCACAAAGTGTTGATTTGTCCCCCTATCCTTAACAAAAACGACTTCCACCTGATGCAGTGTTCCGATAAACTTCAAATTTTCACAAAATGCTCATATTGGGCCACATCACCCATAGAAACGATGCACCCAAATTTTTTTAACCCCCTTCGTGTGTCACCCTACTGCACAGTAAATTATACAATGGGGTTAACCTTTCATGGAGAGGTCATTATTTGGATAACTACAATGGAAACCTTGAAACCCGTGGAATAGGAAGATAACTTTAAATACTCCATAAACATTAAACCCATGGAATAGGAAGATAACTTTAAATACTCCATAAACATTAAACCCGTGGAATAGGAGGATAACTTTAAATACTCCATAAACATTAAACCCGTGGAATAGGAGGATAACTTTAAATACTCTATTAACATTAAACCCGTGGAATAGGAATATAACTTTAAATACTCCATAAACATTATTCCCGTGGAATAGGAATATAACTTTAAATACTCCATAAACATTAAACGCAGCACTTATGCAGTGTACAGTGTACACAGGCCTACTTCACTTAATATGTTGATTTTAAAGCTTCTGATAAAACTTTTTACTTTATAACGACATGAAATACGGTTATGGTTAAAACTGTAGTTAAACTTCAATAAAAGAAAAGTTTGAAATACTTAAATGATCATTTAATTTTTATTTAGAATTTTAGTTGTTATAATAACTGTAATTTAGATAATGCAGCTGTTAGATCAAGTGCACAGCGGACAGCAGCAACTGTTACAGCTGTGGAAGGTGAAGAGGAACAAGCTAGATCACTGTCTACAGCTCAGGATGTTTGAGCAGGATTGCGAGAAGGTTTGGATTTCATAAAGTTGTTTACAGGGAGACCCATAAAGCTCTAGAATAGAAAGACGACTGTTAGACTTTAGTTTTGCATTTCGCTGTGATTACAGACCTTTTTTGCTTAATTAATAATTTATATGATTCTTAAGCTACTGGTACAGTACTTTCTTTATAATAACATCAAATAAACATAAGATTGAAGTTGTCTACTTATTCCAGAGTTTTATCGATCTAATTAGATTTTAAGCTAAAGAACTGAAAATTCGTCAAAAGCTTTAATTTTTGAATTTTGTAACCTTTGTAATCTTGCGGTGTAGACCTTTGATAATTCAAATTATGACATTTGTTACTTCCAATTGTTAAAGTTTTATTATTAATCCCATCCTGACATATTTTCTACCTTTTCTATCTATGTCCGATCTACTTCGTTCTTGCATTTTTCATATTATCTAGAATATTCTTTCTTCTCTTATTTCTCCCCTTATCAATGTATCCTCCCCTACCTACCTTCTTTGTTCCTCCCTACCAGTCCGCCCTCTCTAGCTAGTTAGCTCGTTATGAAATTCCTAGATAAAAGTTCGCCGACAAACTTGACATTTTCTCAAATTTCTTCAAAGTTTAAACAAAGATTCTTAGAATTAGACATTCTGATTTCAAATCATTCATTCGGAAACTCAAGAAATGTATAATTCGACCCCTCTCTTCCTTCCCATCAAACTATATTTACAACTAGGTGTTCATTACATTAAATTCATGAATTATGATCTTTTGTCATCCTTTGTTAAGTTTGCTTAATACCAATAAAATCTTTTTGTTGTTTTCATACCTTTAATGTTGTTTCAAAATATCTTTAATAAAACTGTCAGTATGCGCTTAGTTCATTTTTAAATTCTAGATGTTTGATTGGATATTCTCTAACCGTGACGTTTTCCTTGGTAACTATGTGGAGATAGGACGGAACTATCAGGATGCTAAAACAATACAGGAGGAACACAATCAATTCACCGCGGCATCCAATGTAAGTATGCGCTTTGCGCGCCATTTTTAGCTAAGATGGGGGTCTAAACTCCAAAACCTTCCCAACCCTTCTCAATGAAAGAAGATCTTGTTCACGCTTTTTAAAATTTTTCAAATATAAGAATTTAATTTTATGTTTTAGATGTAGCAAAATTCTGGAACAAATTTGTTTATCAAAATTGTATACTTAAAACTTATATTGAAGCAAAAGATGGAAAAAGTTTCAGAAAGTTTTCAATCGTTATTCTTTATCGTTATGCTTAAGTTAGAACCTCAGCTTCCTTCATCCGGTTCAACATTATTTTGCAAATTCAGATCCAAATTGAGCAAAACTTATCTCTGCCTTAGGTAAAACCTAATTATGCGAAGTAAAAATAATTGTAAGATAATTTTCTATAACAATATTCCTTTTAAATTTTACGATAAAACGGGATCCGAACCTACAGAAAATTTCAATTTTTGTTTTGTAATCTTATTCTCTCTACCTTTATCGTGACAAGCTCCCTTTCTTTCTATCAAGGGATTAAATTAAAATTCTTTTAAGGACTACTTTGAGGAATTAGATTATAGTTGTCGGTTGTAAAATCCATCTTATTTCTTTACAATTGTATATTAAATCTTTTCTATTCAAACTATTCTCTTCTTTTCTAGATTACATTTTTCCTTTTAATAATCCAAGAGTAATCCTTTATAATTTCCTTCCTCCCCCAACTCTTTGGTTGAAATTTCAAAATACAAAATCTGTTTTCTGAAAGGGACTGCAAACGTAACTTTTATTGATTGGCATGTCCAATTCACAGCGTTCTCCTTAAAACATTTATCTGATCAAAGATGGTTAAGATATCCATGTCTCAATTTTTCAATAAATTTTTTAAAATATTTGCGTTTTCTGCTGAAGAAACAATGGAGAAAGATGTCACAATCACGTGTAAACCTTTTTAAAAACTATTCAAAGGCTAAGACCACTCTGGCGTTCAACCCCCCCCCCCCCCCCCC